CCCAAAACCCCAAAACCCCAAAACCCCGACTGATGATTTTATCAAAATTATAAGGGGTGCTGTTATAATTAATTAAATAATAAAAAAAAGATATTAAAGAATGATATCTAAGAATTTTACTATGCTAATAACTATTATATGTTTGTAGGTAATTGAGTCTGGTTCTTCAACGTGTTTTACAAATTCCTAATTCCCAATATTTTTCGGATATGGAGAGATGAATTATGAATTTAGTATTGCTGTTCTAGATGATAACAATTATAGTTTTTTATTTGGGGGATCAAATTTCTAGAGTCCAATAATAGGATATTTCTTTTATAAAAGTGATACTGATTATACTTGAACTGCTTGGATATACGGTTTTTATGTGTCTGATACATAATCAGATATTGAAATTAATTATCTATAAGCACTTAGTCCAATTTCATAAGTTAATCGAATATTTTACGCAAGATTCTAATATGTGTAAGAAAATTCTGAAATCATGGGCCATCTTTTTGCAAAATTTAATGTTACTAATGGTTAAATCTTGATAACTTCATCGATTATTGGACTGATAGAAGGAATATACTAATAATCATTATCAATAGATTAGGACGAGAACATTATCACTATTGCAAAAGGGCGTATAACTGAAAACTACTTAATATTAAAAATTGATAAATCCCTTCAGTAAATTCTATGGTGTAAGAGACCTTTTTCAACTAATTACTAATACTTCACTATATCAATATATGAAAAATAAGTTGTTATAGGGGGTAATTCAATAATATCAGGCCAAAGTGCCCTTCAATTGACAGTAGTTTAAACTGAATCAGGCATATTTGAACTTAATAAAAGATTCCCTTATGATAAAACTCTTTTTGGTATATATCCACATATAATGAAAATTGACTCAGAGTATAACTACCTCATTGCCTGTTTATAATCTAAAGATTTGAAGAACTTAATTGGATTTTTAATTCTGGAAAATGTTGGGGCTGGCTAATCAATAAAGGGTAGATTTACTTAAAAATCTACTTATCCTTAAATTTCCTACTAGTGTCTTGAAATTGTAATTTCTAGTTTTGTTAACTTTATTTATTTAGGAAATGGTTAAAGAAATTCTTTTCACCTATATTCGAGAAACAAATGCTTTTCCACCTCTTCACACTATGAAGGTGATTAAACTTACTCTTACTAAATTCTTCTTACCTGACATTACGCTTGATGTAAATTGGTATGAGATTCAAAATCAACATTAAGCTTCTATTAAATTTTCTTAAGTGCTTAGACAGTCACCTATTAATTAACAAAATTCCCACCTTATTGTAGGAGCCTACTATCTAAATGACTATTCTTATGGAGTTATTTATAGGAGTGGTACAGAGTTTGGATGTTTAGGCTTCTCTGATCTCCAAACATTTTAATAAAGCTAATTATCTAAAGTTGAAATGACAAACCTTTTAAATACATTTGTAGATGACGACGAAGTTCCAAATAACACTTGCGATGTTAATTAGCTTTACAATATAGCAAATATTCCGGTTTTGTCAATAGATTTTAGACCTTATCAGTTGGATTTGATTGACAAACAAAATTGTACTTTAACTGAGGGAATGCCAACTATTAGTTTTAACTAAGGAAATTCAGTTGCAAAAAATAACACCTTATGCTTCATAGATTTTCATTGCAGTTTAGATATTGGCCAATATCATATGCCTGAATGCTCAGATATTAGTGAAATTAAAGTTATTATAAAAGATTTGGCTTTAGATGAGGTACAATTTAACAAAGAATATACACTAAATACCAGTATTCATTACATCTTTCCTTACGACCTCTAAGAATACAATGATGCTTTGACTTAAAAAAGGATTTAATTAGGAGATCATTTCTTAAAGTTGACAGCGAGTCTTAAGTTTGCTAATGGCTTTGTTTATTCAAGCTAGGAAAACGTATTTAAGGTAAAAGTTGCTTATTGCTATGAGTATCTAAAATTTTCAAAATCTCCAAACTTTGAAAGTATGTACTATATGATAGCTTCTGAAACTCAAAAGTAGAAATTTTTACCATATTAATATTGGCCAGAGGGCTGTGGAAACTTAAACTATCGAGTATTTCTTAGTGGTGGGGAGAGATTACCTAATTGCATTAATTTCAATGGTCTAAATAGATTAATTACAGTGGATTGTACAGACTCTAAACTAGGCGGAAATTAATATAATCTAAGCATTTAAGCTTTTATTACTGACAAGAATGGCTCTGAAAGAGCTAGCTCAGCTATCAGTTAGATTAAAATTGTTTTAATTTCTGATGCTTTCAAGATTAATACTACTGCTCCAATGTTTAATCAACCACCTGCAGATCAAACAATTATAGAGGGATAGTTATTTTCCTTCAAACTTCCAGATATTATAGATAATGATGGTTCAGGATATTAAATTACGTCAAGTTTTGATAGTTCAGGAGCTTTTGCTAAATAAAGTTAGGGAATGATTGAATTCTCGCCTGATGTAGGTTTTGCAGGAACATATGAAATTACTATCAAATTAAAGGATTCTTCAAACAGTAATGCTTATAATAAATATTCATTTAAGGTTACCGTGATACCAAGCATATAATTGAACATTTCTGAGGTAAATCGAATTTAATCGATTAAAGACTAAATAAAAGGATATTTAAAGGCAAGAATTAAAATGGTAACCAACTAAGGACTTGTTTATATCACTTTTAGCAAGAAAATGCTCATCTATTCTAATTTTGAGTAGTAGCTCAATAATTCACTTGAGGTATTTTTGATCAAGATAATAAATTCTTAGCTAAGAGTATCTAATAATGAAAGAGAGATCAAAGTAGATTATCAAGTGAAGTTCTTCTAAGACTTGACTTTAATACTGCAGGTAGTTTTTATTATTTTTTAAATTTATTTAAGATATTATTCATTGAAGACCCTAAGTCATTATCTTAAGAATCTGTAAAATTTATATTTTTTAAAAGCATTTTTAGGAATTCGACTTTTTAAAAGTAATATTCTTAAGGAACTATGAATATGTTTCTTTGAATAAGCTGTTGATTATTCCTGAAAAGTATGAAATAACCTCTATACTTCCTCCATAAGTTTCCTCTGGTAAATTAATCAAATACAGATGACTTTATGAGTCTGACATTTCCTATAGATTTTAACAATGTTAACAATATGGTTGGTGCTTTGATATTATACACAATGAATTCAGTATTTGGGGCCAATATCTTTCTGAATCTTTTCTTGTAAATACTTTCATGTTAAAGTATTTTAGGAGCTAATCTTTGTAATTGTTATGGGGATTAATAGATAGTTTCTAATTGATTACACATCTCCCTTTAATTTCAGTAGTTATACCTTCAAACACTCTATATTTCTTTGGATTTATCAATGATATTGCTAGTTTTAATCTTATTCCAACTGAAGAAATAGATGAAGGTTTGCTAGAATTCGATGAGTTTTCGGATTACGAAGCATTAACTCCTAATTTTCAGTTAATGAATTATTAATCGAAGAACGTTATCTTAAATCTGGGACTAATATTTTTTGTTTTTATGATTATTATCCTTACAACAATTTTTGCTATTGGGTTAAAGCTAATCACTTTCAAATAGAAACAGTATATTTTTAAATAATTTCATCATACTTTAGAATCTAAATTATGAGTTAGAAATTCCAAACAATGATAATATACAATACAATACTCAGATTTCTCTATGAATCCTCAATTGAATTATCAATTTGTTCACTGATCAACTTATATCATGTAATTAGATTTTTGCTCATAAATTTAGTTAGATTTAGAAAACCTTGGATAAATAGCAGGAGTTTGCTTTTCAATTATAACTATGACTTTGATGGTTATATTGCCACTTCTAACTATTTATAAAATCAAGAGAAATTTAAAAGTCATTTTTCAGCTAAATTTCTAATAAAGATATGGAACTTTGATAGAAAAATTAAATAAATGACACGATTCTATGATAATATATTATCATGCAATTTGTTTAACAAGAAGACTACTGTATAGTATAATTCTAGTAAATTTGAAAGATCTTCCAGCTTTTTAGATCTTACTTTTGATATTGCTTGGATTAGTCAATTTGATAATCTTAATAAGATTTTAACCATTTGAAGGAAAAGCTTTGAACTAGACTTAAATATTCAATGAGATTTTTATTTTACTGATACTATATAGTTTCATTCCATTTATTGACTGCAACAAAATTTAATTGTAAGTTAAGGTATATCTTGGCTTTATACCTATCATACTAACAATGACCTATTTACTTTGCAATTTCTTCATCATTATAAGATAAAACTACAAAAATATTACTAAAAGCTGTGAAAAAAATAGAAAAATGCAAGGCTTAAATCATAGAAATATATAGAATCATTCAAAAGCTATAGAAGATTATGATTAATTTCGATATAAAAAGAAATAGCAAAAGAGTTTCATCAATTAAGCAAGTAAGGTACAAAAAAAGATATATAAATAAGAATACTAAAAAAGAAATTAACTAAATGAACTTAAAGCTTAAGACTAAATATTTGATTATATTGGTCATGATTTAGAAGAAAAGAAAAATAAGATTGAAAATAATAGTAATTTTGATAATTTAATAAAACAGCTACGAAAAAATGCTTTAAGGGAAAGTTTTGATGCATTTAATGTTAAATTTGATTAGGAAAGGATTATAAAAAAGAAATACCCGTTTTTGGTAATGGACAATAATGATATAGACATTTGAATGCATTTGATATTTTACTTGAACATTATTTAAAGGATAAGTATCGTGGATAATCTAGCAATTCTGTTATAATTTTCTATGTAAATTACATTTAATTAATGAGATATTAGTTTTATTTGATTTATATGCTTTTCTATTCTATATTTAAGATTAAATCTCTAGGGGTTTTGGGGTTTTGGGGTTTTGGGG